AATTAAATAATAAACACTTTCGATTTATTAAAGATTATCTAACAATATACGATCATTTACTAAATACTTCTCGCCCTCAAGAGAGTTAAAAAGACAGAGAAAATTCAAAATACAAACAAGTGCAACTTAGGATTAATTGTTCCGATATATCTATTTTAATTTTGTGCACAATTGTTTTCAAAATTACATTAAAATCTATTTTGCTTAAACAAGAACCCAGCAATGGATAAATATTAATCGAATAAACTTACCTTTTCTCTTGTCAATCAGAAAATCTTGTTGACATTAAGTGTTTCTTAGTCGCCATATTTTTTTTCTATGAAAACAAACGTTGTTATGATCAGGATCAACGGAAGTTGATTTTCGGAACTCTCGGGAATTTAGAGTTCCGAATGTAAAACTGAAACAACAAAACACGGTGCGTCCGTGAAAGCAACTTTTTTGGACACTTTTTTGGACAAATCGTCGTGTCCAAGTTTTGTTGGGTACTAACCTGCAAATACCCAATTAGGGTGTTTTAAGCATATTCAGCGACACTTCTTATTGGGTATACCCAATAAGCAAAAAGTACCCAATAAGTACAATCTTGGCATGAAAAATACCCAATAAATGCACTCTCGTAAACACGGACAGACGGACGGACGGACGGAATTAACGATTACTATATACCCTCCCGCTTTTCAAGCGGGGGGTATAAAAAACTACCTACATGTATCTTGAAAAACTGTGATGGGGAGTTTCTGAACAAAATAAGTATAAATTATATACATAACTATTGTACCCTTATACAGCCATTTAAACCATTTGAATAACAGACGAAAGAAGGGGGTAAAATGGACATTTCTGTTTTCTTTTTCTCTCTTATTGTACTATTTTGCAGGTTTAATTCTAAGGAATGGTGGCCGTTTGGAATACCTCACCTTATATGAGTGCTTACATCAAAGTACAGTGTAAGTTGAAATATCTGTACAAACAGCAATAATTGCATTTTTATTATACCCCCCGCTTGAAAAGCGGGAGGGTATATAGTAATCGTTAATTCCGTCCGTCCGTCCGTCTGTACGTCCGTCCGTCCGTCCGTCTGTCTGTCTGTCCGTCCGTCTGTTACGCTTTGGGGTACCCATCTCTTATCCGTAACTCCTCTCATACCACTGAATGAAATTTGATGAAACTTTCACAGAATCTTTATTACATATTGCCATTGTGCACCTCCTATTTTACTTTTTGATCCGACACATATTTTGGGTTTTCCGGCCACAGGAAAACATGGACTTTTTCACCACTTATAACCATAGGGGAGGCGGGGGGTATCATTTAGTGAGCTCATCGCTCACAGTACCTCTAGTTTTTAAATTCAAATAACAATCAAAGTACAATTTTATTTTCAATAACAATATATATTGTAGTGTATAAACATAAACCACAGGAAGTGCACATTTCCCTTACCCTTATCCTGTTAACCAGTACACATAATGATCAGCTGGCTCTAATTAAATGTTTAATTCTCCCCCCCCCCCCCCCCCCCCCCCGTTCAATCTGTCTTGCTACATATGCTCACAATTCCTTTGAATTCCAAAATCTCTATAAATTACATGTTCACGTATCTTCATTTATGTAAACATACATAATAATAATGTATAAATTTTAGTGCAAGTATAACAGATGTATAGAAAAACCAAATTGAAAAAAGTTAGTAAAATCAGTAGAAAAGAAAAAATAGAACTTGATCACATTATCAGATCTTAGAGAAATGTATCTAACAAAAAAAGTAAGCAAAACGTGTGAAAGTAGCACAAATTAAAAATATAAAATAAGTTAAACTTAAAACAAAACATTAATAAATGTTGATACCTATGAAAAGATTATAAAACAAAAGAGCAATGTTTTGGAATAATTACATCTCTGAAACGCCTTGTGCTGACGTAACATCTCATACATTTTCTAGATTTCAGTAGCTAAGAACCTACATACATGTAAATAAGGCAATAACTATTCGGAGAAGAGAACATAAAATAAAAAGTGAAATAGTTTTAATAGTCTATGGTTTACATGTATATGTGCACCATGTGATGGTAAATATGTAAAGTACATTTAATCATATTTAATCAAATGAATAGATAAAAACAGCTTGTACAAGGATAATTCATTACATAAAATGTATATATAACCCTATATGGCCAGTTATCACAGATTCTAGAACACTTTATACGTTGTATTTTTATGCAATACAAATGTTGTAAAAACATGAATAAAAGATTATAATGTTCAAAACATTTTGGAAAACAACGAAATAAAACATCACGACTTAACAGGCGGTTTAAGGGGAGGGGCATCTGACTCGGAATACGGAGGTGGGGGCTCCCCATAGTACGGCCCTGGTTGTGTATTTCCTCCATACCCGCTAGGTCCCGGATGTGGGTATTCTTGACTTTCTGCGGGCGGCGCTGACGGCGTTGCGCCATAAGACTGCTGTGGTTGGTCGTGCCCGTAATACTGTTGCTGTTGGTAGCCCGGATGATAACCTCCGTGCGTTTGCTGTTGTGGAGGATAACCTGGTTGCTCTACTACTACTGGTGCCCTTGGATAACCATGCGGATTTGCACGAGGAGGCGTGATGACAACATTTGATTGGTTCGATTGAATCACATGACCTTCGTCCATAACTGGATTATCAGTGTAGTACTCGTCTAAATTTGAAAAAGAAATCACTATGAAATATAATTTTAGAAAGTGTTCTCTGAGGTCAGAAATGCTTACTTCTTCATGTTTCATTATTATACAAACAAAAACTCATTCTTTTATTTTTCACTATATTTTTGACTTACAGAAATTGTTAGTTGTGAGGGTAATTACATGCATAATATGTATGAAGTCTTACTCGACATTCCAATGAAGGACACGCCCCAAATACAACTCCAGATCCACCCCAGCAGAAGGACAGGAAGAGTGAGAATTTGAAGTATCCCGATCCAGAAGCTGATACAAAAACTACTCAGCTTCTCACATCCTGTCATGTCCTCGCTGCGTGCGCAGCAACAGACGGTAAATCCCGCTATTATTGTTCCTGTCAAAACGTACATACAATGTATATATTTATTAGGATCAACGAACAATATGTTCGTATTGCATTGCAGTCTGAAATAGGTGTAAGTAAGTAGTAAATTTTATTTATAGTCGGACATATAACAAACAACATGAGCTTTAAAGCTCTTTTACCGACTAGGATATTTGTTATATAAAAATATTTAGGACGAAATGTATAATATACATGTAGGTAAGTAGAATCTTGGGTTCAAATGTTACATGTACATATTTTCAAACATGCACCTGTATAGATTCTGATTGGCTAATATATTGTGATGACCGTAATTTTTTCCTCTTCAATGAAATGCTTAGAAATTGAACACAAATTGATCAAAATTTACATACTATGAATCCCTATATGTAAAATACCTCCAGGAACGAACGTAACCATATTCATGTACGTATATGCCCATGTATAAAATTCTAATTGATTTTAAGAGCGAGTCTACGGGAAAATCATGCAAAATTAAAAATTTGTTACACAAGTCACATTTTAAAAAGATGATTTTAAATACATAATTTTGAAGAGAATGGACCTATATAACTATTGTGAAAAAAATTTCAACAAAGGTGTCCTCCTAACCGAGATAGCCCCGAATCTATTTATAGCCCACTGGTGGGCTGGATTTTCAAGGAAAAATAGCACTTTTATAAGCCCTTCAAAAAAATAAAATGAATCAATAATTTTGAAAAATTTTGTGTTTTATGTTGAATTAATAAGTATAACTTTTTGTTTATAGTTGAATTTTGTTTACCTGATCTAATTAATTTGGGAAATTCAAAAGGTTTTATAAGAGAAAATTCACTTGACTTTTTATATCTCTATGAGAAACGCAGTGCTGTGTTTGATACAACGGGTGAACTTTTGTTTAAAATTATCTATCTGATTTAATTAGTTATTTTACACAACATATTTCAGGGAATTTCTTGGATTTACAATGAATCTCGAGATATACACTTTTGAATCTCTTTATTTTTTTACCGAATTATCGATCTTATCGAACTCTTCAGTGCATGAAGAGTAAAAAAGTCATTATTTACATGGAGGGAAAATGGCAGCGATGTCGTCGGGTATGTGTGATTTTGGTGAAGATTGTGAAGAAACGGCGATATATTATTTGAACGGCTGTGTTAAACAAACCTTTCACCACCTCAGATATTTGTACTCTTAACTCTAAGGGTATAGATCTGCCCGAAAGTTATTTAATTCTATTCAGAGCGGGTATCGATGTTATCACATTAGCACAGCTAAACAAGAAAATTTGCCAAAGAATCAGATACGCGCTTGGTCTGTACTGGAAACGGAGCGAGAGATCTTGTGTAAATCCCTTTCATGGTTTATCTAAAACGAAACCAGACTGAGGCATCACAACAGTTTTGAGCCGGGAACTTTGGTTGCGTCTACAGCTATCAGTCCCAATAGATGAAGGTAATAAGAAATTTGTCAAACTGACCAAGTTATGAAATAAAATCCTTGAATTATTATACTTAAACTTGATTTTTTTCCTAAACAAGTCTTGAATATATATGATTCCTAAACTTGCTACTTATGTAATTAAAAGTTTATGGCAACAAAATGACATAACAATAGGTTTAGCTGCTAAAAAATACATATTTATGACAATCCCAGAGAGCTATTGTGCTAGTTAGAATAATCTAACTGTGTCTTGGAACACGCCCTCACCACAGTTAGAATACGTCCCATATACTTGCAATGTAGCAAATCGGAGCAGATCCACTCCGAAATGATTTAAGGAATCACTGTCTAGTTTTGAGAGTATGCCAGGGCATCAACAATAGTGGGAAACATGGGATAATTTGCATAACGGGCGAAGCCCGTTATGCTAAAATTATCCCATGTTTCCCACTTTTGTTGATGTCCCTGGCATACTCTCAAAACTAGACAATGATTCCTTATATTTTCATTTCATTGTGAAATAAAACTTGTAGATTTAGACTTTAAAAATGTAGACATAGACTATAATCAAACGAGGACTTCCATGTCAATTTCAGGTAGTCCTCGCACACTGACGTCAAACACATAGACAGCCGCACGAGATTTACATGCATTTTTGGCCTCCTAAACGTCAGACAAAGAGACAGATGCACACGAGATTTGCATGCGTATTAAGCCTCCTTAGGTCCTGACCTATCGACCTGCCTAATTTACATTCCAGCAGAATTATCGAGAAATAAACTCCGACAACTTTCAAAGAGTTACCATAGAGAAAAAAAATTAGAAATGGAAATATTTTGAAGAATATAACAGGATTTGCACAGGAAATAAATACTAAATTAATCAAAACAAACCTTTTTGAGATTGCATATAATTATGCGTTTTATCCCAAAAAGTAATCCATGTAAAGGCAAAAATCCAATAAATTTTGTCAAAATTTTTCTGCAATGTTTACAATCGGAACTCTTTAGATTGTTCATAGTAAACAGTGGTAAATGCACTGATTACGAGTTATCACCCGTGTTTCTTTTGCTACATTACGAATACACAGAACAAATTCTATCATTAAACTGGGTCCGTAGGACATTTATCATTTTAACGATAGAAGATTCTATCTACTATTGTTCCACCCATTGAAAAAAATGGATATTCATTGCATACAAAATGTTGCATATAGTTCTGGATTAATTCTTCCTAATTCTTACCTCAGTCAGACAGTAGGAAGAGCTAAATTGTTCAAATCATGACCCCAGTGGGGAATCAAAGTTTTACATAGAAATATAAAGGAAAAATCTTTTAAAATCTTCTTCTCAAGAACCACGGGGCCAGAAAAGATGAAACTTGTTTGAAATAATCCTGGGTTAGTGTAATTAGTCTAATTAGTCTAATTATGATCAGTGGGTTAGGGGGTCACAATATGTATTACAAGGGGGAAATCTGGTAAAGAACAGAATTGTCAAAGCCATTCAGGTAATGATGTGGGCCGTGAGCTTCTTGTTTTTCTTTTGTTTGTTTTTTTTTTTTGTTCGTTGGAGTTGGTAAATTGACCAAATTATGAACGCCAAACAAGACACTTAATATTGATATTGGATTTGTCCCTTATTATATACAGGTCCATATTTGCCCTGCACCAGATTTGTATTTTTTGAACTTGAATACTGTTTGTTATTTCCATATATTTTCTTTTTACTTAGACAGAGTTGAGCAGCTGACCTATTCAACCATTGCCTCAATACCTCCACTGAATCTTAAAGATTGCACTGAAGTCAAAGGTATGATGTTAATGAATGGTTTCATTAAACTTTCAGACTATGCAAAATCATTAATAAGAAAAAAATCTTGTATCTTTAAGTCGCCGGAGTTTTTCAGGTTCCATTTTTCTATTAAAATTTGTCTGTCATGTGTAGATTATAAATTTTACAATTCATGACCCCTGAGGGGGGTAGGGTGGGGGTGCACAATATAAATTTGCAAAGGGGGAGATCTGGTTAAGAACAGCATCATGGCTAAAGTTCCTGACCAAAGGGTGAGCAATGTGGCCCATAGGCCTCTCTTTTTGTGATTACTACTAATTTTATAAAAAGTTTAAATACATCATAAGAAGAATTTTCTACAATTTTAGATGTTAACAACATGCAATGCTAATCCTGCTGAAGAAACTTCAGGCAGCAGAACAGTTTGACAGTGTCCAAGCAATAGCCACTGAACTTACAGAATAAATGGCTGTGACTGAAACTCATTAAGTTCAATATTTTTGTACCGTAGTTTTACTTATATTGTTTATATAAATAATACCTGTACTCAGATGTGTATCCCTCATATAATTACATTTAATTCATTGACATTTATTAAAGTGGGAATTGATCAACTTCGAGGGTTACAACAAACTATATCATTTTGTTGAGATGTTATTTCATTGATATACTGTAGTGTATTTTTCATTCTACCACGGTTATTGACACTTCAAAGGAAGCCGCCTGGACATTATTCTCCAATAGACCACGAACGTCATCAGAAAATTATCAGATCAGAAACACGTATCAAATCTGAACAATTCAAATGCATGTTTGGCTGTAGCATGAAATACTTGTTTAAACCGCATCGATGTGTCGTCTTTTGCAGTATAAACACTGTAAATTGCATCAAGTTGCTGATGAATGTCGGTTTTTATAGCTAAGCGGGGCTATGCAAAATCCACGGACCTCCCTACACATTAAACAACGTGATTTTAGCAGTAAAACAAGAACACGATTTTGTTTTTGTATTTTCATTTTAACTGATCAATACATATTACGAACAAATTTGTAATTAAACAAGACTATTTTTAATGCAACGAAAGCTCAAATCACCTGCATTCCATATATAGGTAATTCAACAAAATTTCTCTCTGGTGTTAAATAGAACAGCGTAATCGAGACATGGTGGCCTAATTCGTTTCTCTATAGAGGAAAGAATCGGCCGTATTCATTGCCCTTGCTAGAATAGAAATAAAGTCCTTGTTGTTGTGAATGATGCAGAATGACCTCCTCGGTCTCGAAATGTTGTTTGAAATATAAAAGCCTCGGCTAACGCCTCGGCTTTTATATTTCTAACAACATTTCTCGACCTCGGAGGTCATTCTGCATCATTCACAACAACAAGGACTTTATTTCTTAAATAGAACATGATAGAATGAAAGTACATCTTTTTGGAATTTTTTTTTATTTGTTCTCAAACATGATACATGTACTGGGGTAAAATAATTTTTTCAGAATGTTAATGTAGAATTTTGAATGTTTTTTTTTTCTTTTTCTTTAAACATTCCAATACAGTTTTATAGATTTACAGTTATATTGCATATAATATTACCTGTACTTGAATTTATTGCATTGTGGTTAAGTAAATCCATTCACATTCAAAATCAGGTTGTCTTAGAGGACAGAGACAATACAAGTAGTTTTATGGTATGAAAATTGCATCAATTCCTGTTTTAATTTTTTAGCAATTGTGGCCTTATGCTTCAAAGGATTATTAGAAGTTAAAAATTATTAAATGTGGTCTTATAAGTACATTTCAACCCGATGTCTTCCAAAGTTCCAAACATACATATATGTGAAGCTCATTACTTTATCAATCATCATACTCTCCTTCAACTATACGTACTGAAGATATTTGATATTCAAAGTATATTTAAATACAGATGTGTACATTATATTGTAATGGAATACTTTATATGCACCTGGATCCATAGATAAGGGTCGTACCGGTATATTGTTTTGTCCTATTTGTCTGTTTTTCTGATTATCTGTTTTTCTGTTGTCAACTTTAACCTTTGCCATAACTTTTGACCTTATGACCTTGACTTTGACCTATATATTAAAAATAACTTTTCAGAACTTTGTTGCCAAAGGGTGTATAGTGTTTCACAAACACATCTTAGTTTAATTTAATCATTTTTAAAAATATTAGTGAAGTTAACTCCCCCCAAACCCTTTGAGGTTTAAAAATAATTGTAAGAATGGTATATTATTGTAATCTTTTCAGAATGTTGTAATTGAGGAAAAATTTCTATTTATTGTACTACGTGTAGATTATTATGTTCATTTTACAAAATATGTAATAAATATTTAGATTTGAAACATTAAAGAACTAGGTCTAATATGGGCTGGAATTGGCCTTGTTGATTTAAAAATTGGTAAAAGTTTGTTTTTATCATAACTTTGTTATATTTCATAATCCGAAAAATTCCAATTTTTGGTAAAAACACTATTTAATGACCTTTCAAGGAACAAAAAAAAATTTTCTCTCTTTGCTGTGTATCAGGTTTTATGGCTCTTAGAATTAAGGCAAGAAAAATCTATTTTTAGAACATCTTGAGATAATTGGAGTTGTCTCCCGCTGAAAGCTTAATTAATTTAAAAGTTTTATAATGGAAAGGATTAACAGTGTTCATATGTGTATAAAATACACCATATCTTTTCCCAGAAATTTGTTTGTAATAAAATAAAGATGTAAAGGTAACTGGTATTTTTCATGTGTTTTATAACATTATGACCATTTGCCAATGACAAACATAGATAGTGCTCATGTACACTATGCTAATCAGCAGATTTTGACCAAATTTACAGAAAAGTCTTACAATAGCTTGAAATGAATAAATATAATAATGGGAAGTGAAATTGAGAACCTAACATGAATAGCTCTCTGCATGGTTTTCTCATAGACTCCCTCTTAAATAGTTCGATTGCTGTCAATTGAACTCTCGGTTTCATATGAAATTTATGAATAAAATTGACCTTTTTCTTAAATAATTCAGAACTAAAATTCAGAGATGCATGTACATTGTAAGTACAATTATTTAGTAGTTTATCCATGTTTTCTAAAATTTTGTTCATTTCATTCAGACTTCCAAACCTAGCCATGTTTGTTTTTTCATGAATTCTGATCACGTTATTTTTGTACATTCAAAATTTGAAAAATGCTGCATTGCAGATAATTTTGGGGAAAAGGAAGGGGTTTTGCAACACGGCCCTACACGGGGCAGTGTAAATTCCCTGTTATCAAGTTAAGTAAAATATTTGTAATATATACATTAATGTAAGATTGCTGCTTAGTGATTGTCAGATTTTATTCAATTATCTATACATTAAAATGGTTGTGGATTCTTGTCAAAAACTGGGGGGGGGGGGGGTTTACATCATATCGAAATTATGATCTCGTCTCTAAAGTAAGATTTTTTTTCTACTTTTGATAACGTCAGACGACAGAAACAACAGTATTGCAATACTTTAAAAATAAGAGTATAAATATCAGTTTACCATCGCATATCCAAAGTCTAGGAGACTGATTCACTCACAGGCACCTGACGTTACGTATTTTTCTTTAAAGTAAGGGGTATACTTTTTCCATTAAAAGAAAAATAAGTAACGTCAGGTGGCTGTGGATTCACTCTATGTATAATGTAAGGGAAAAGATAGATAACTCTTACCCAAACCTGGGACGAGAAAATTCAGAATACAACACAGTATTGCCATCGGACGGGGCATAGCGGGTACCGCGATCCGCCCCTGTTTCCCCCGGGCGCGGACCTCACCGCGACCCATGTTTCTGTCTTTACAGATTTCTTTTTCACTTTCTATTTCATCAATGACTTTTGTACTTAATATTTATATGCGTCATCGTCTGAAATTCCTTGTACATGCCCTAAAGGAACAAAAACAACAACAGTTTGTAATTAAAAATGAAGCCCACAGAAATAAAACTGTGTTTTATTGAAAATATTAGGACATTTTTAACAAAAAAAAGTAAAATTAAAATGGGTTTATACGTTAAGGTTAAAAGAAATGATGTACGATTCCTTACCTTCTCATATTTTGTTTGTTTACAAACAAAGCCGGATGTAGGTAATACGAGTGACTTCCCTTTGTTTGAGATAAAACAAGGAGGTGGATCTACATGGGTGATACAATAATTATAATTAAAAAATACATATATCTCTTATTGATTTGCAGAAATGATAAGAGATAGCCCGTTATGCATAAATTATCCCTTGTTTTCCACTATCGTTAATGTTCCTGGCATACTATACTAACTAGACAGTGATTCCTTATATAAATTTCCATTTCATTGTGAAATAAAATTGTAGATTTTGACTTTGAAAATATAGAAATAGATTTTAATAGACTTATTGTATAATAAGTGGATAAAATGCAACCCTATTTAACAAAACATTTTCAAAGTAATTCAAAAAAAGCATGTTTCCCGCATCAGACTTGAAAATTTGTCGCACTATCTTAACATAGAATGCGGAAAGTACCAGGCAAGAGCAGAGATGATAGAATATGCGATGTTTGTGACAGTCATCAAACAGAAGATAAATTTCATTTCCTTCTCCAATGCCCTAGATATCTAAATCCAAGAAAGAAATATATAAATGAATATTATTACGAATATTTATCAGGTTAACCTACATATCTCTCTATACCTTATTGTCAGATGTTTATGTATATCAAAACAGCATTGTTGTATAATATTGTATTATAACTTTGAATTATTATGTACAGTTTAATCCAAAATTATTATAATTGTATTCTATAAAAAAAATTAATGAGTGGAACTGTGGAGTGGTTGCACACGAAGCAATTTTTTGCTGTGAAATGTGTTACCTGTGTATTATGGTTTTAAATTATCATTTTAATTATTTATTATGAATTCTTTCAAGGAATTGAGACTAATATAGTATAAATAAATTCTGAAAGTCAAGGAAAAAATGGAGCCAATTTTACATAGAATTAACACTTTTTAGTGGTATCTAAAATTTACATCGTATACCCCACTTTTGATGTTCTTTTCTGAATAGTTTTAACTTTGACCTATCTGCTTAAATTTAGCAAAAGTTTAAAATGTTTAAGACTTTCTAATAATTTTCTTGTTTATTAAATTTTCAATGCCAGAAAAATCACACTTTGTCACTGCAGAAAGGTCAAACTCATGATAGAAGATATTCAATGTTTTGTAGTTGAATATGGAATTTATTTCACGAGTGGGACAGGATTTTTGATATTTTCACGAGTGCGAAGCCCTGGTCCCCTCCCCCCTCCCCCAACTTGTTTCCCAACCTTTCTTATACTATAGGAAATGTTAATTGAAAGCCTGGTTGCCCCCCCCACTTTTAGTGATGTACCAAGAATGTAGTAGTATTAATACTGGTACTAAAAGTAGTCGACACTCCTTTTTTTTTTCTTTTTTTTCTTTTTTTTTTTTTTTTTTTTTTTGCTTGTAAATTTTTTCAGGTAAGTAATTTTTTTCTCTGGCTGCCCCCCCCCCCCACTTTCAAAAACGATGCTACGCCACATGATCTATCTTATATCATGTCAAGGAAGTTTTTTTTTTACAACAATCTTCGTTATGGGAAGGGAAATCGAGAGTTTTCCCGCGCTTCTGATATTCGTCACACTGTGACAGGATATCATTTTGATATCCTTTCACACTGTGACAGGATATCATTTTTATTCAATGAATAAATTACAGTATTTCACGGGTAAAAATGTAATAAAAAAAATATTATGCAAAGCAATTTGAAACTTTTTCTTAGGCACAATTTTAAAGTGTCTTTGTAAATAGACTTGCAGTTTATTTTTTCCCTTGGTTTATTTGGATAAGAAATATTGGAGGGAGAACGTCGAAGATGTAATTTTTCATGAAGACAGATTTCAGATGCAGAATCTTATGGATCCAGTGTATATATTTGTAGAATAGATCAAATACACCTAGTATTTTGACTGAAATGTTATACATGTGGAATATATACTGAAAGGAAAAAGAAACGCAGGGTAAACTTTTGAATTGAATTAAATTTATTTTTCAACTTTTTGTTTAAGTAATCCTATTCAACTTTTAAAATCATCTTTAAAGAAAATGTAACTTAAATCCCATTTGATTTTGTCTTATAATTCGGGAGTTATTGAAATTGATATCATGACGATATCCTCCAAAAATGAAAATCGAAAGTTTTCATTGTCTTCAATGTCTCCCCGCATATCTCGCTGTCACAGCCTTAATTCTCCTTTGCATGGAATTCATCAAAGTGTTTATCTCTCAAACTCTGGCTATATGGGGCATGGGTAACCACGCCGAAAAATTAGTCACAATTTTTTTAGGGCCGTAAGAAGCAATTTCAATTTGGGGGAATGGAGAGGGGGTTTTCAGTTCGGGTACTACCGGTATTAACTACGAAAAATTCCTTGACAAGCAAAAATAAAAAAACTAAAAGGCTATCAAACGTGGGGAGGGTCCCGCCCCTCCCGGTTCCTACGGCCATGTTTTTTTCAAGGAATTTTGTCGAATTCCTTTTCTAATGTATTTTTCTACTGCTACATTGAATGATTTGTATTTTCCCAGAGGCATGCATGGTCAGAACCCGTAATTATAGGTGACCATTCACTCATACGCTGAAGGCCTAACGGTTAACCTCTCGAAAACTGTAAAGTTAAAGCCTATGGTTAGAAGAGTAGACCATGTAACAAATAAAAATTAATTGTTTTTTTTTTTACAAACAGTACATATTTGAATAAAATACCAAACGAACAATTCAATTAAAAGCAAAAATATAAAAAAGGACAACAAGGGAGTCAAGATGCAAGTGCATTTTGGCTAGTATCAACGCAACCTCACAATGTCTGCATGGGCAGAAAAAATACGTAAAATATAGAATTCAAATAAACTGATTGCAAACAAGGGATAAAGATAGTGAATGTCAATCCCAATATATACATTAAGTGAAATAAAAAATATTTTGGTAGGCCGTCTCTATAAATTTTTGTCTTAAGTTATCACCCTTGTAAAACTAAATGACATAATTTTTTTGGCACAAATGGTCAATTCTGATAAATTTACTTAAAATAAAAAGATCAAGAATATACATTTTATAATTTATTTTACAACAAAGAAAGAATGCTCTCTTTATTATGGAAATAGAATTATTTCCATTGTTTTTAATTGTAAACAATTACGAAAAATCGATGTATGATGCATATAAATAGTTTATTTCACGCAAGTTAGAAGAATCTGAGTCAGGAAAACAAAATCAAAAAAAAAAAAAAAAAAAGAAAGAGAGAGTGAAAATGTGGGGAGACAGAGAGAAAGACACAACGGGAGCGGAGGAGGAGTGAGACGGAGAGATATAGTAAGGGAGAGAGAACAGGGTGAGAGTGGGCGGTTACTACCTCCCATTCTATCTGAACACCTTCTGCCTACTCTCCTTTCTCTCTCCTAATCACAACTAGCCTCCTACTATCTCTCTCGCTGTCTTTGAGCAAGAGGGAGAGTGAGAGTGGGTTGAGTGTAGATCCTCTCTCTCCCCACTCTTATTCTATCTTTTCCCATTCTCCCCAGAGAGAGTGGGGAAAGATAGAGTAACAGTGGGGATAGAGAGAGGGGGTGACAGTGAGAAGAGAAGGAGTGAGAGTGGGGAGATAGAGGGAATGAGAGTGGGGAGAGAGGAAGGGAGAGAGTGAGAGAGAGGGAGTGAGAATGGTGGAGAGAGGGAACCAGAGTGGGAGAAAGGTAGTGAGAGAGAAAGAGGAGTGAGAGTGAGGAGAGAGGGACTGAGAGATAGAGGGAGAGAGAGAGGGGAATGAGAGTGGGAAGGAGAGTGGAGAGAGAGAGGGATTGAGAGAGAGAGAGGAGTGAGAGAGAGAGAGAGTTAAAATGGGATGATAAAAATATTTCAATAATAAAGTGAATCTCTCTTTCACTGTAAACTACATGTACTGCATCGTCGGAAACCCACGGGTGATCTCGTCTTTACTAATTATAAAGACGAGATCACCCGTGGGTTTCCGACGATGCATGTACTGAAGTATTAATATGATCTCTCTCTCTCTTTCTCTCTCTCTCTCGTTGTTAGCTGCAGAACTGTAGCTCTCTGCCTGAGAAAATTCGGATAGATAAAGCAGAGAGCTACAGATCCAAGCGTTGTAAAGACCTTCGATTTACGCCGACGATTTTTTGTCGCTACTGTATTTATTTGATTATTTCGTGTAGTTTATGCTTCCTATGGCTTTTAGAATGGTATCCAATAATAATTCATATATTTAACTCTTATATTTGAAATTTTGTTTACCTTTTAACGGTACAAAACAGTCCTGTTTATAGTATTGGAATGTCGGTTTAAAAGAGTTCCATTTCGACGTCTGTAACCACAAACAGCCATTTGTTAGCTTGAGAGGTAAGTAAATTATCAGGAATTGAAGTTGAATGTATGATTAATTATTAAATACCATTTAAAGTTATTGTCAAAGCTGGGGAAAGTATAAAATACACGAAAAATACCCATAGTGAGCGAGAGAGCTACAGTTCTGCAGCTAATAACGAGGGAGAGAGAGAGAGAGAGAGAGATCATATCAAGTCTTCAGTACATGTAGTTTATAATGAGAGAAAGATTCACTTATTATTGAAATACTAGTATCTTTATCATTCCATTGAGAGAATGTGAGAGAGAGAAAGTGAGCGAGAGAGAGAGGGAGAGAGAAAGAGAGCTAGAGAGAGATTTAACTGATGAGAATTAAAACTTCTTAAGAAATTTTTTATTTCAAATCAACGAGAAATGCAACATGTATTACCGGGTATATTATTTCTTAAAATAACCATCTGCCTGTGGTATAATATATTATGGTAAAATATCACATACTGAATGCAACAAAATCTAAAGTGCTAAATACAGGAAAGAAATTCCGTGTAAATCTGAAATCTTTTGATTGACGTTTGCAGCTTTTTTTTTAAATCATGAGTTATACAGTTGTCCTTCATTTAACAGTTTTTATGTATTAAATACAACATACAGTATTAAAATAATAAATATATAAATATAAAATAACTTAATCAGTATAAGTTTGTAATTGAAGGAAGAAATATTGTACCACACTGTGACGCTGTTTCAAAGGAATTTTAATTTTACAATTTTAAAGTCAATAGTACTTTAACCATTTTCTCAGTATATTTTCCCTTCTTTCAATATATGCACAGACTTAGAGAATGCGACATTATACATACGTTTACGTTTATGAAAAAATATAATTTTTTAAAATGCATTTTTTTTCAATTTCAGAATCTTTGGGAGATAACCACAGCTCTTTTAACCAATGCAGGAGCTTCTTTGAAATATCCCTTCAAATAATAATAATAATTGGGTACATGTCACGTGATGTTTGGGAGTGAGAGTTCATTGTAACACGTGTCACATACTACGATCCGCTCCCCGTTTGGCATCGTAAAGTGCTGCTGATAACAAGAATCACACACTGTCTCCATACAGCGGTTACACTGAAACTGAAATAGAAATAAAAATAATTTAGTAATTAAAAATCCGCAAGAAAAAGACTTTCGGGGGTTTGAAATCCGTTAATAATAAGTTTTAAAGTTATACTATATATAGTACATGCACATGCATGTACACATGTATTGTGTAACTACATAATTATTATAATAGTTATATAGGATGTGCTACATGTAGGCAGTTTAGTACAAAATTTACCATGGCAATATAAATTCATACACATTAAGTGCATAGTAAAAAAAAATGTGAAAGGGAGTGAAAGGGAGTAGAGGGTTAAGAATTTTTAAAAATATCTTTAGTTTCTGAAATTTCAAAGTGAATTCGGTGTTTTCTCCATGACCCTTTTCTTTGTATTCTCAATACAGTTAACAAAGCAGCACACAATTATTGAGTACAGCTTGTGGCCCTACAAATATATCAGTGTTGAAGATCAAAAAACCACACAAGACCAGAAGGTCTTTAAATTCAGAAGAAGGCCTACCTTGCGTTCCGAAGCATTGTTTTGTTTCCGACACACCATGCACTGCCAATAGTGAGGTTGTGGGTTATTTTCTTCGTTTCTAATTATATTCTCTTCAACCTGAAATAATTTTAATTTCTAATAAAAAAATGTTATTTATATCTCTTGTTAATATAACGTAATTATGCTATATTCAAATAAAAAACAAACATTTATTAATTAGATACTTGATTTTTTTTTTAATTTACTTAATACTACAGCATTTCAATCGCTGAATTAGCTGTAAAATCAATAAATATTAGAAAACATGATTAAGAAGACTTTTTTGTATTATACCGGAGAAATTCAAATGAAAAAAAAGGGGGGGGCACCATTATGTTATACTTAACTTTATACGTGTAGCCAAGTTAAGGGAGGATGAAAAATAAAGGTGCCGAAAGTAATTTTAAGATGATTTTTATAAATTTACCTAACCATGTCTTATTTTTAAATGTCGTTAACACAACAACAAGAGGAGACATTGACCACAAGTGTAAATCCGATAGCAAAATATTGTCCTTATTTTTCATATTTGACCTGATTTAAAAGATTTTAAAACTCTTTGCTGAGTCCACAAGCAAATCTTTTAAAAAAATAAATGTACCATATCTAAATTTCGATCGGGTTCTGGTTCCGCCGGAACTTCCGTTTCCTCTTGATCCAGCGTCTGCCCGGGCATGGAGTACCCTGGGGGTGGGGTCCGGTACATTTCATACGGCGGAGGGGGACTGTGGTACCTTATGTTAGATCTGGCCCGCATCGGGTAAATTAGGTTCGACCGCGGCCGTAAGCGTCGGCGGCTATCGCCTCTCCAGTTTGAGGACTCGGATTCTTTGTAATATTCAGCTGAAATGAGACAAAAATAATGCGAATTTCAGTTATTATATCCTCTTATTAAATATACTATCAAACTTCGTTACATGTATCATGAACTCGATACATTGAACAGATAGTTTACTTTTTAAATGATATCCAAGGATTCGATATACACTTTTAGAATATGTGGTTAGGGTTTTCAAATCTCTTATTCTCTTGTACCATCGGTGTTCGAGAACATGAAGATCAACTAAAAAAATATTTCTTTTTTCTCTAATTTAAAGTCATATCTAAATATTGAATAGTACCTGAATTTCCAATTAATGAGACTCCCCAAATCCCGCTCCAAATCCAGCCAATCAGAAAGCACGACACCATGATCAGTTGGAGGAAACCGATCGCCACTACAACTATGGCTGATGAGTATTTCTGTTTAGGTGTGATATCGTCTGTTTTGGCACAGCACAATACAGAAAAGCCCGCTATCATGGTGCCTATTGCAAAAAAGAGAAAAAATTAAAATTGTTTCTTGATGAGTAAACAGTTAAACACGCTTAAATATC